TGAGAATGTTAATGGAGAAGTATAGAGATGGTCGGAAGGAGCTGCATTGTGTCTTTGTGGATTTAGAGAAAGTGTATGACAGAGTGCTGAGAGAGGAGCTATGGTACTGTATGAGGATGTCAGGAGTGGCAGAGAAGTATGTCAGAGTAGTTCACGATATGTATGAGAGGAGTACGACAGTAGTGAGATGTGCTGTAGGTCAGACAGAGGAGTTCAAGGTGGAGGTGGGGCTACATCAAGGATCGGCTTTGAGTCCCTTCTTGTTTGCTATGGTCATGTACAGGTTGACAGATGAGGTCAGACAGGAATCTTTGTGGACAATGATGTTTGCAGATGACATTGTGATCTGTAGTGAGAGCAGAGGTGGAGGTCTGCTCTGGAAAGAAGAGGAATGAAAGTCAGTCATGGTAAGACAGAATACATGTGTATGAGCGAGAGGGAGGTAAGTGGAACAGTGAGGTTACAGGGGGCTGAGGTCAAGAAGGTGCAGGAGTTTAAGTATTTGGGGTCAACAGTCCAGTGTGATGGGGAGTGTAGGAAAGAGGTGAAAAGGCGAGTGCAGGCAGGTTGGAGTGGGTGGAGAAAGGTGTCAGGAGTGTTGTGTGACAGAAGAGTGTCAGCAAGAATCAAAGGAAAGGTGTACAAGACAGTAGTGAGACCAGCTATGGCTGTATGGGTTAGAGAGTGGAGCAGTGAGGAAAAGACAAGAGGCAGAGATGGAGGTAGCAGAGATGAGGATGTTGAGGTTCTCTTTAGGAGTGACCAGGATGGACAGGATTAGGAATGAGCACATCAGAGGGACAGCTCAGGTCGGCTGTTTTGGGGACAAGGGTCAGAGAGGCCAGATTGAGATGGTTTGGACATGTGCAGAAGGGATAGTGGTTATATTGGTAGAAGGATGTTGGAGATGGAGCTGCCAGGCAAGAGGTCAAGAGGAAGGCCAAAGAGGAGATATACGGATGTGCTAAAAGAGGACATGAAGTTAATTGGGGTGAGAGTAGAGGATGCCGAGGATAGAGTTAGGTGGAAACAAATGATTCTCTGTGGCGACCCCTAACGTGAAAGAAGAAGAAGAGAAGACCTTTATGAATAGAGAATTTAGAATGCAATTCACAAAAAGAACAATGATAACAGTGTTTGTTTTATTTGTGTGTTTACTGTAAAAAGACCTTGGACAGATAATATCCATGCATAATCCTGTAAGTGACTTCTTCTATCTTATTGGTAATGAGATACATGGCAAAGTCCAAATCTTCTTCCAGTTCAGGTCAGTTATGAGATTTTACCAAGAAGATAAAACACATGGAACTGAGACCAAGTCTTTAAGATGTAATGCACAAATATTGCAGTTATTACATTTAATAGAAGTTAAATATATGGTTGGAATAGTTGGTTAAACAAATATATTTTATGTTCAGGCCACTTTATAACAAAAGAATAATTTATTCTTGTAAAAAATGTCTATTGGGAGAAAAAATATGTTTATAAATTAAAGGTTTGCCTGTGAAAGTTGTATAGTTATAAGGGTTTTTTTTTCAGTTAGAAAGTGAAATAAAATCCATTCTTCGTACTTTTGAAAATATGTAGTTGGATATTAAATAATGCTAAATGCTGCTTCAAAAATTGTATTGGAAGTATTACTGAGAGTAGAGAAAGTGAGAAAGTTGAGTCCACCCTGATCATAGAAGTTCATCAGAGCAGATTTTCTGATTGCTTTAGTGGTATGTTTGTTTATGTCAAGGCATAACACTGCATAAATAAGTCTTGAGATTCCTTCTGCTTGGAAGAATGGAATGGCCTTACTTGATGAGAACCATTATTGATTCTCTCACAAACAAAACACTGACATTAGAGAAATAGTAAATATGATATACAGAAGGAATGTTTTGCTATTGCACAGTCTGAACTGATCAAAGCAGCGTAGCACAGTAGCTGATGGCAGCAAAAGAGTAAACCAGTTGATGTCTTTGAACTAAATTCCTGCATTTTATAAATACAGTGTGAAAGGAGAAGATGTGTGTTCCTTGAAGCAAATGATGACCTGCAAAGTGGAACTGAATGTTTTTAGTGCACTGCTTCATCTGCTGGACCAGGTGTGCTCTGGTGACAGCGGAGTCTGCCTCGGTATAGTGCTGGTCAACAGGCCCAGGATGGAACACCTGTCGTCTCCTCTCTGCACATGCATCATCTATTTTGCTGTATAGTATTTTGAAGACAGCTCTTATCAAACACCCTCTGCCATGCCTGAGGCAAGGGACAAACAAGTAGAAGGCAAAATATGTCATAAAAACTAACAGTATAAAATATTGTGTATAAACCTACAACCATGCCAGTACAACATTAAAACATTATTTCTGTATGGTGCAGCTTGCTGCTGAATAAAAACTGGGGGGGCCTAGTAGCTTTAATAACAAAAGACAACTTTTAGATGAACACAGGCCTCAAAGCAGTGCTGTTTGTACACAAAACTCTTCCAATGTGTGAGTGAACATGCCTGGCACAGACACGAAGGTGCATGCGAGATCCTACACACTGTACACACTATGCTTTTGGTCTGTGCCACTGCATGTGTGACGTGGACTGCTGTGCCTCTAAAACTGATTGGCACAGAATCAGAACTCTTACAGTGATCAGCCAGTCACCCGTTGAGGCCGATCACACAGAATACCCGCCCGTTCCGATCTGTGACGATTGATCAGTGCATCTGTAGACCCCAATATTCGACTATTTGGATAGTTGCTTGTTGGGTAGGTAATCAGTTGTCAATTTTAGTATTCTAATGCTTGAGACAGTAGGAAATTTCAACACAGTCTGATGATGAAGATAAAAGAGAACACAATGGACACAGCTTGGTCCACTAGCTGGTATTTACTAAGGATGACAGGCAAGATGGGGAACCAGGCTTGTGTTCCATTGAGATGTTTCCCCCTGTTAAAGTTGTGCTTCTAGTAGTGCCCCCTTGGTGGTTATGGGAATGGGTAAGGTAGGGGTTCAGGTTAGGTTAGGAGAAACACATTTCAACAGGGGAACAGATCTTGACACAACACCGACATTAATCATTAGTCTGTTAAAGTGATGGCTTTCTGTCATTCAGACATGGGGCGACTTTACATTAGGGAAAAGTGAGTAGCCTAGTGTCAACAAAATCACTTAATGCATCACTGGTCTTCTAGTATCTGATTTTAACTACTGCAGTATTGCAGGGCAGTTAATTAGTAGAAATATTGCATTTGTTTTTAATTGTTGTTTAAGTTAGCATGACATTTGTATGATCCCAGTCTTTATAAATCTCAAACACTGATCACTGCATTGTTAATTTCTATTCTTCCAGGGATTCAGATCACCTGACTTAACTATGTTGATAAGCCCAGAAGAAGAGGCCCTGATTGACCAGGTGTTTGAAATCTACCTGGCAGAGCATCATCATGGTGACATTCTCCGGCTTATTACAGACGCTAATGAAGAGACCCATTACTCTGTTGTTGTTAATGCCATGACACTGTTTGATGCAAGTATGGAGGTAATGTCACCACAGCTCAAATCAATCTGCTGTATTCGGAATGAACAGAAGTATTTCATTGTATTTGAGATTTGGTCGCCTAAACCCTGATGATATGGTTAAATGCCTTATAACATTAATAGAAATGTTTTTTCTGTATAGATATATTACAATATGGCACATTTGGATGTACTCATGTAATCTTTGTTTGAACTAAATACATGGTATATGTACTGTGTGTGGCCACAGGTTGGGGACTATTTTAATGCTTATCCCAACGATGTCCTGGCTATATTTGATAAAGTATTAAACAGAACAGCCACTGAGTTATCAAAGAATGGTTCTTCCAAGCACTTTGGAGGACGAAGAACTAAAGAACATGGAATGAGACACATTCTTCATGTCCGCATTACAGGTTAGTCATCTGGCTGGGAATGATGATCATGGGTTACCAGATGTTGCTCAGAGTTTGTGATTGTGAGGCTGTTTGGTGCAGTGGTTCAGACTAAATTAACTCTCTTCTGCCCTTAAATATTGGCAAGGCAAGTTTATTTATACAGCACATTTTTATACACAAAGACAATTCAAAGCACTTCACACAATGCACACGAATAGATAAAACATTAAAATGCAGATATAGATAAATCAATGCAAATTAAAAGCAACAATTACATGACGGCACAAAGAAGCATTGTAAGTTTTTGGGTTTTGTATTTGTGTGTTCTCTACAGGTTGGTGTCTTTACTATAGAAAAGATTAGCTGGTTCAGTTGTTGGTCTTAATAGACAGAAAATAACCTCAATAAAACAAGGTGCTTTCAAAGTGTTCTTTCCAAGTTAAATCTATGCAAGATTTCATACAAGTTGTTACAATATTTCATAAAGGATTGCTGGGGTGCCAGAAAATTATTAAAGTCTATAAAATAACACTAAATATTAAGTCATTTTCATATACTTTATTGCTTAATATTTGTAAGTATTCACTGTAATTTCATGAGTCTGTTCTTTATTTGACATAAGAACTTACACTAGTCAGCCATAGCATTATGACCACTGACAAGGGAAATGAATAACATTGATTATCTCCTCAAAATGCCACCTGTCCATGTGTAGGGTACGTACGAACAGATTGTGTCCAGGGTATGAGGGGTCAGCAGTGATCTTCTCCACCTTCCTTTTGACCCATGAGGTGTACAGGTCCTCCATGGAGGGCAGGCTCACACCATTGACCTTTTCTGCAGTCCTGACTGTCCGCTGGAGTCTGTACTTGTCCTGTTTGGTTGCTGAGCCAAACCAGACAGTGATGGAGGTGCAGAGAACAGACTCAATGATTCCTCTGTAGAACTGTATCAGCAGCTCCTGGGGCAGGTCGAACTTCCTGAGCTGGCGCAGGAAGTACATCCTCTGCTGTGCCTTCTTGGTGATGGTCCTGATGTTGGACGTCCACTTCAGGTCCTGGGAGATAGTGGAGCCCAGGAACTTGTAGGACTTTACTGCTGATACAGTGCTGCCAAGTATAATAAGTGGGGGTAAGGTGGGAGAGCTCTTCCTGAAGTCCACTGTCATCTCTACTGTTTTGAGCGTGTTCAGCTCCAGGTTCTTGTGGCTACACCACCGGACCAGCTGCTCAACTTCTCGTCTATAGGCTGACTCGTCACCGTCTTGGATGAGACCAATGACCGTTGTATCATCAGCAAACTTTAGGAGCTTGACAGAGGGGTCCTTCGAGATGCAGTTGTTGGTGTAGAGTGAAAACAGCAGAGGGGAGAACACACATCCCTGGGGGGCACCTGTGCTTATTGTCTGGGTGCTGGATGTGGGTTTCCCCAGCCTCACCTGCTGGAGATGTGCTGGACAAACAAATCCAATCCATGGGGCTGTGCCTTGCAGCTTAAAGGGCTACTGATGTCTTGGTGCCAGATACCAAAGGACACCTTCAGAGGTCTGTGAAGTCCATGCTTTGACAAGTCAGAGTTATTTTGTTGGCAAAAGGGGGACCTATGGAATATTAGGCAGCTAGTCAATATGTTATGGGCGGGTGGCTGTGGCTCAGGAGGTAGAGCGGGTTGTCTCCTAACCGGAAGATTGGTGGTTCAATTCCCAGCTTGTCCAGTCCACATGTCGAAGTGTCCTTGAGCAAGACAGTGAGCCCCCATTTGCGCCCGGTGAGGACACCAGTGTGTGAATTTGTGAGTGCTTGGAGTGCGAATGGGTGAATGGCCAAATGGTGTGAAAGCACTTTAAGTGTGCTGCAATGCACAGAAAAGTGCTATACAAGTATAAGACCGTTTATGGCTGCTGGCGATTTTCCTATTAAAATCATGTCTTTAATTTTCTGTTGTTTGTCACTTGTGTGCCCAGGTCTGCCATTGTGTCCAGAGATGACCAGAGACACCATTCCCCGGTCCAGAGATGTAGAGCACTTTTTGTCTGTGACTGGTATTGTCATACGCAGCGGTGTTGCCAAGGTAACAACATGGCCCACATTCAGTTTTCACCATTTAGCTGAAATTGAATTGAATGGAGCTTGTTCCACCATTTTGCATCTTCTGCTCATCCTTTAGCAACAGCTTTTGTTTCTGGAGTAAACTAAACTTGATGAATTGTTATTTTTACATGAGCAGAACATTTGTCGGGATGGAACACAAATACGTTGGTCTTTCTTTAGATATGAGAACACTCATTGGCATAATGCCTTCCCTACCCTTAATCTACATCCTTAACCATCACAACTAAATGCCTAACCCTATCCTAATTCTCACCTCATTCCTAAAAGTTGTAACCTTCATACATTCGTTTGAAGTGGTGAGGACCAGACAAAATGTCCTAATGATGCCAAAATTTTATTATAATTATTTGTTTGAAGTGTTGAGGACCACACAAAATGTCCTAATGATGCCAAAATTTTATTATAATTATTTGTTTGAAGTGTTGAGGACCACACAAAATGTCCTAATGATGCCAAAATTGTATTATAATTATATCTTATATTATAATTATATCTAATGATATCTTTCTCCGCCTCAACACCAGTCAGTCAGAACTGAAGCCTCTTGGATGAGAGGTGAAACGTCTTCGACCTAGAAATGTGGTCCAATTGATTTTTTTTCAGCTTACTATGACCTGGATGACTGAGAATCTGCACAGACATACAGTATATCTAATGAGCCACTTAATGAGACACACGCATGTTTATTTTAATTCCTCATAGAGACTACACATTTCCTGGAAACCTACCCTAATATCAAGCAGGCGAAATTAGTTTCCATCATAGGGATGCAGGACTCGGGCTTAGAAATAAAGGAGTTTGGACATCCAGAAGAAGTTCAAAGTAGAGCAGCTGCATTTAAAATGCTACTAGTTGATAACAGTGCACCTCCGTGTTTGTTTTGAAGTGAAGTCCCAGGAATCGCCACTCTGAAATCATTTGGTAAAAACGACATGTGCGTGTGGTCCTGCATCTTGACTGAACTGTCTAGTTTTGGTTAAGATTAGAAAATCCACTTGTGTGAACCAGGTACAAGACACTTTATGTTAATTTTTCCTTTGATTTTTCACCTGTCTCTGTGTGGTTGTGGTGTTTACTTTAATTACTGGTAATTCAAATGGTTCAACTGAAAAGGGTCTGCTGTATAGTTGTGGCTGAACAATGAGAGCACAGATGTCTGGTTACTTTTGATTATTGCCATGTCTTCATTTTAAATATCATTATTATTAGTAGTAGTAGTAGTAGTAGTAGTAGTAGTAGTAGTAGTAGTAGTTGTTGGTTAGTTTGATTTTCTTTGAGTTGTACTTAGAATCATCTCCCCCTTCCCTCCATAGGTTCTGGAATATGAGCGTGATTACATGTGCGCAAAGTGTCGCCATGTTTTCACAGTGCAGGCTGATTTTGACCAGTTCTATACTTTTGTTCCTCCAACGACTTGCCCTAACCCTGATGGCTGTAACTCGTACAAATTCAGTTGTCTGTCTGGAGGATCTGAGCCAGCTGTCTGCAGGGACTATCAGGAGATCAAAATACAAGAGCAAGTAGGACAGCTGTGACTGTGATCCCCATTTTTTTCTCTTTCATAACATTGTGATCTCTCATGTGATATTGCTACTGTTTTCATCAAATAAAGTTAATTTGCATAGTGTCTGAAATATGGATTGTAATTTTAGTGAGTGTAATCTTGCTCCCTACCACAGGTGCAGAAGCTGTCAGTGGGCAGTATTCCTCGTTCTATGGTGGTGGTCCTGGAGGATGACCTGGTTGACAGTTGTAAATCTGGTATGAACTGTAAATAGCCAAGTTTGACAAGAGAGACATACTGCTAGCGCCTCCAAACAGTCCATAATGCAACTGCCAGTCCACCTCAGGTGGAGGGATGCTGTTCCGCCCATCCATGCTCAATGGCTCAAGGATATTATGTCAAGCTTGAGTCTTGAGAAGATCTACTATTCAGTCTCTAACTCAAAATTTTGAAATGTGTGTGGTCTGTTTCTGGAATATTTTGAGAAACTCCAGTTGATCTGAAAATTAGTTGTTTTTTATTCTTCTTTAATTAATTGCATTTACCCACTCTTTGATTTGTACTTTTATTTATTTATTTGTTTCCCTTTTCTCTCTCCTGTGCTCTGGCTCGGTGATTGTTAGTACTGTTAGAAGACTAGAGGGTTATTGTGTTGGATGGAAACAAAGAAAATCAAAAATATGTTGGATTAAAAAAATAATGCAACTGCAAGTGTAGTTCATTTCAAAGTCATGTTGGACCTCAATGCATGTTAGTACCAGTGCCAGCAGGAGGTTTTGTCATTACACTGACTGCCTCTGATGTGACTGCTGTCAACCAGCAACACATCATTGCTATCTCTTTGACCACTCTGTAATAGAAAACAGCATTCTGATACACATAATTGTGGCGGCAATTCTCTATCACAACTGTAGCCAGAGGATTCAAAACAAAACATCTTGGCAGTATTGATCCCTTTGTTGATTAATCAAGACGCACGATACAAAGTATAAAGTGTGTTTTAACTTGGTGTTCTTCTTGTTCTTATATACTTGCACTTATCTATCTTTTGTTCCTTTCTGTGAAAGCTTGCATTCATCCTACTTCTCAAAACAATCTTCAGATGTCATTACTATCTGTCCTTTGTGTTTGGCATGATTCATAATTCATTCCATTCTCAATACCTTCTCAAAGGAGGCATGATGAAAATAATTTTACCCACTGCATGATCTTTGACTTTCAGTTAGTTTTTGTCCTTTGCTACATCCTATGAGAAAGAAACTGCTTTTGCTTTATCTAATATCAATTTGGCTTGCTTCTGCAGAAAGTACAATGCACCTTATCATTTTAGATGAGACAACATGCTAACATAATGCATCAAATATGAAAATCAGTGACTGAATTATTTGTACTACATAAACAATGTGTCACTGTGATTCATAGTCTTTTGCTGTGATTGTATTGTGATACAAGATGAGAAATCAGTTGGATGTAGACTTTCCACCGCAACATGCTGCCACACAATGCATTGTGGCAGCATGAAGACTGAAATGAAATGAGACACCACAGTATTTGTTTTCACATGATGTCAGTGCCATGCTCATGCTGTAGCCTTCAGTAATTTTGGACTGTGTGGGGTGCTCACAGGAGATGAAGTGACCGTCTATGGGGTAATGTGCCAGCGCTGGAAGCCCTTTTATGATGGCACTTGCTGTGATGTGGAGCTGGTCCTCAAAGCTAACAACGTAGAAGTAAACAACCAGCAACCTGCTGCTGCTCTGCTAATGAAGGATGTTCAGAAAGAATTTGACGACTTCTGGAATAGCTACAAACATGATCCCATAGCTGGTATGTAAGATTTTGCCTCACAACACTAGCAATTTTACTATATTTTTATTTATTTACTTCACAACTGTTATTCTCCCCCCTCTCTGTAGGAAGGAACCAGATCTTGTTGAGTTTGTGCCCACAAGTATTTGGCATGTATGTGATTAAACTGGCGGTGGCCATGGTGTTGGCTGGCGGGGTGCAGAGAATTGATTCTTCTGGGACCAAAATCAGGGGTAACTCTTGTTTCTTATTTGTTCAAGCAACTGAAAAGTAGGGCACCTACATTTCAGTTTTTTGCCATTTTGTAACTTATAAAAATGGCAATGACTTTACATTTTTTTTGTACACACCTAAGCATACTTTTTATGAGCTGCAAGTGAGAGAGTCTGGTTCTTTTTTTCTGCCGTATGTTGTCACAATACAGGTATTACTGGTAAAACAATTTGTTTTAGGTCCATGTAATTACCACTTAGCTTTATGGTTGCTTCTAAAAGGCCACAGCATAACTGGCCTGGCTTATCATTCAGCCAGCTGGTGGGCCGAGCTGGCTTTTTGCCACTACTAAAACTGGTCCCCAGTGTTGTCAACTGCACTGTGTGGTTGGGCTGGCCCTCTTCCTATTCACTTTAATACAAAAAGACCCTGCACTAAGTTCAAACTCAATTTGTAGTCATTTAAAAATTAAACACCAAGCCAAAATACTTCAGGGATGCAACTGATCATTCATAGTCTCACTTTTGTCATTGGATCAACTGGTCCTCTGTGCAGTGCTTTCTCACTGTGGGGTTGTACTTAATTTGTCTAGGTGAGTGTCATATGTTACTGGTTGGAGACCCTGGCACAGCGAAGTCTCAATTCCTGAAGTATGCAGCTAAGATTATGCCTCACTCTGTACTCACAGCTGGAATTGGATCAACAAGTGCAGGTAGGCCATATTCATTGTTAGCTGTCAGGTTAAAAGAGTTGCCACTTTCTGAGGTGTCCCAGTAGCCGAATGGTTACACTGCAGCACAACATATACCAGGCACAGTGCATGTGTGATGTTGGCGGTTTGAGTCCAACTGCCGACCTTTGTCACTGGTCTCTTCATCTATCTCCTCATTTTTTGTCTGCCTCTCAGTCACCCACTTTGAGATATGGGTGTGTGTGAATCTAAATAAAGGCGTAAATGCACAAGTAGTTTAATTATTTAAAAAAAATAGCCTATTCAAGCTATTTATCAGGAAGTTGCCATTAATAGCTTGAACTTTTTCAGATAAAGAATTATGCATTCTTACATACAATCATATCCAATCAGTGGTATTACTCATTTTATTAAACTTTCTGGCACATTATGACATTTGTTGAAGGGTTGACGGTAGCAGCAGTAAAAGATGGAGGTGATTGGCATCTTGAGGCAGGAGCCCTGGTCCTGTCAGATGGTGGTTTGTGCTGCATTGATGAATTCAACAGTATCAAGGAACATGACCGCATCAGCATCCATGAAGCTATGGAGCAACAGTCTATTAGTGTGGCCAAAGCCGGGTAGGACACTCATGCATACATATCTATATGATCATAGAATTATAATTTAGGCAAATAACACCACATCTGGTTTTAATCTTGGAGAATAGCAGTGCCATTACTGCCCTAAATCAGATTAGAGATAGCAAAAATATGGTTATCAATGATATAAGGTCACCCAAAAATAAAGCAGAGCTGTAGTGTTGTCAGATTTTTGTTTGTACCGATCGCCAATCACATAAGATTTTAATCATTCCTATTTGTTTTCTACCCTTTATGTGCATAATATATATTAAATATATGGACATATGGCAGTCGGATTAAATTAAAGTGAACCCTGGCTGCAAAACAAGCTTTAGAACATATTTACTGAGACCTGGCAGTAATAAATTATTTATATAGGGTTTATTTATATAGGGTACTATATAAATAAATAAAATATACAGACTCGCAAGTATACTAGTAGGGATGGGACAATATACCGAAGTTTAATATATCACAATACAATATACATACGTAAGAAACTTCATTAAATAACATATTTATTGACGCATATTGGAGTTGCTTTGAAAACGGAAGTTGACTTAACTTTGAAGTTCAAATGAAAAATGTAATTCCTTAAACACATGCATGTGCAGAATTATTCAACCCCCAGCTTTGGTACTTTGTTAGAAGTTATAAAAGCTAAAGGATGCTCCACAAATGTTTTCAGTAACTGCTGACGAGCTTCATACACCTCTCGATCACAATCTTTACCCATTCTTCATGTGCAAAAGTCTCTAGCTCAGTGATGTTTGATGGCTTCCATGCTGCAACTGCCTTCTTCATATCCCACCAAAGATTTTCAATTGGATTTAAATGTGGTGACTGAGAAGGTCACTCCAGGACGTTCCAGGGTCTTTTTCTCAACAAAGTTTTGGTTGACTTGAAGGTGTGCTTGGGATCATTGTCGTGCTGGAAAGTCCAGTGATCACCAAGGTTTAATTAGTCAGCAGAAGGCATCACGTTCCTCTTTAAAATTGCCTGGTACTTCTGGGAATCCATGATGCCAGGTACACAATGAAGTTTGCCAGTTCCTCCCACAGAAAAGCAGCCCCACATCATCAATGAACCACCTCCATGCTTGACCATGGGGATGGTATTCTTCTGGTCATAAGCCTGACTTTTCGCATGCCAGACATACTGCTGGTCAATATGTTCATGTCTCTACTATAATTAGGAAAATGACTGATAACTACGTTTAGGCCCTTTTGTTTTTTTGTTTTTGTTTTTTTGAGCCAATCCCAGCTGACATTAAGCCCGTGGTTCTCAAAGTGTGGGGCGCGCCCCCCTAGTGGGGAATAAAGACATGACAGGTGGGGCGCAATAAACGGAGAAAATTAGAAATGGGTCGTTAATACAAGTAAATTAAAATAACATCAGTTCAGGGCCCGGGAGAAAAAAGTGGAACCATAGTACAACAATAACGGTTTAACATTGGCATGTTAACTGCAGCGCAACAATATAAGGAAACATTCACACAGAGGGCCAATAGTGTACATAGTGGGCATAATAACGTAAATGGATAAATTTGTTACATGGACCACAAAAAAAGCAGGCGATTCAGCACAAGCAGACAAAGAAACAACAGGCAGTAGCCTTATCAACCAAAAAGCCAGCTGTAAAGAAAATATGATGAAGCCCATCTTGCGCTTGGATTCACGGTGGGAATGGTGGGGGCAGAAGAGGGACCCATGTGTGTCTTGTGTCTTAAACAGCTGGCAGCAGACAGCATGAGACCCAACAAATTAAGAAGACATTTAGAGACAACACACCCCAGTCAATTGCTGAGCAGCTCATTTTCCCTGCTGCTGTAGACATGGTGTCAGTTATGCTGAATGAAACAAGTGCTGCAAAATTGAAAACTATCCCCCTGTCAAACGATATAGTTGCGCTTATATTTTATTCGTTTTCAACTTAGTGTTGAAAATTGGCCAATTTTGTTATTTTTTGACAAGTGGGGCTTGAAAATTCGCCCACCCTCTTAAGTGGGGAATGACAAAAAATGTTTGAGAACCACTGCATTAGGCAAGAGGTGAGTTACACCCTGGACAGTTTGCCAGTCTATCACAGGGCTGATATGTAGACAAACAACTACACTCACTCCTACAGGCAATTTAGAGTCACCAGTCAACCTAGACTGCATGTCTTTGGACTGTGGGAGGAAGCCGGACTACCCGGAGAAACCCTGCAAAGGGAGAACATGCAAACTCCACACAGAAAGGCACTGGGTTGGCTGGTGTTATCCAAATAAATATTTTATTATTTATTTTT